GAGTGCAGCAGGCGGCTGGAGCACGTGGCGCCGGCGGTCTCAGATGCGCGCACCGCGAACGCCGCCAAGTCAGCGACGGCGCCGGCGCCGGCGCCGGCAGAGGCGTTGAATTCAAAGGGCGTAGCCACGAGTCCGCGGCCGTCGTGGCAGGCATGGACGATCCGGTAGGGGGCCGACCCCACCACAATACGCCAGTACCACTTGCTTTCAACGAGCATGGCAAACCTGCCGTGGGTTTAGGGTCGAGCATGGTAGAGGGTGACGGGGTTCAGGGTTCGATCGGAGGAGGCGCAGCCTGGCCGGCGTCGGCGCAGGTCTGCTGCAGCCGCCGCTGGTGCGTGCAGCGAAGCACTTCCCGCTTGAGCGGGGTGGCGCGGCCGCCTGGGCCGGGGCTATGGGGGTGGGTGACGGCTGTCTAGAGGCGGAGGCCGCGGCCGCGCCAGGGAAAGCAGGCAGTGGCGCCCCTGGGCCGGGTGCGGCAGGAGGCACAAGGTGCGCGCATGCGCACACATCCAGGCCTCTCTGGCAGAGCGCGCCGTGCGCAGCCTGCTGACCTGAGGGGGGTGCCTTTGAATGTCTTCTCAACGGCCGCAAGACTCTGCTTGACGGCGCGGCACTCGGGTTGGCGCCGGTCACGGCAAAACTGCGAGAGTGCGCGTGGAGCGGGGGTGGGGGTCAACGAGGTGCGACGCGCAGGCAGCACAGGGGCAATATGTGGAAAAATGGAGAGCGGGCGGGCGTTACAAGATGCGCGGCGCGCCCGCGGCGCGCGGCTGCAGGCGGCGCGGCGTGCGTGGATGCTGGGGTTGTTGCGAGAGGTGCCAAGACAAGGTGTCCGAAGGGACAGCACGCGCAGCAACGCGGCGGGGAGAGCTAGTACTGCCAAGAGCCGTGCCATGGGTCATGGACTCCGCAATTACACGTCGAGACGGCCAATAGCGGCAAAGCTATCAGCCAGTGTAGGGCTGGACCCGGCACAATGACGAGGCGTGCAGCGGCGGCAGGGCAGGCGGCATGCAGCGGCGGGACTCACTCCGATGACGAGGTTGCCGTGCGCGCGGGCCGCACGGTGCAGCTCAGAATGTTGGTGTAGCGTCGAGAGGGCGTGCGCGTGCCGCGCCGCGGCGGCGAGCAAAAGAAAAAGCGCCGCGACGAGGAGCGGGGGACGCCCGTGGCGGAGGCGCCAGCCACCCATGCGAATCGCGCTCGACGCGCGCATCTGGGCGCATATATATGCGGGCACGCAGCAGACGGTGGAGCCTCCGGGGCTGCAAGGGTCTGTCCTTGTCAAAATTTGTGATCGAGGCCTGCGTCGAGAGCGGTCTGTGCACACCAGCAACATAGGAATGTGCGCGACGACCACCTACAGTGCCATCGCACTTGTACATCGCCACGGAAGGCGTCGTTCCTGCTCCCGCTGGTGAGTGCTTGGGGTTACACCCCACCTCGCATTGTGATGGTTTGGGCGTTTGTGTCCTTTGAACGTGCACGTTAGAATCTGATCATCTACGCGCACCACGTCGCACTCGCACCCTGACATGCCGCCGACGAGCTCAGCACAAACCATGTGTGTCACAAACGCACTGGGTTCAGCTCACGCCTGAGGCGGCCCCACGCACCCTTACAGAAGCCTTGCAGTAGTATCCTCCACAAAGGCGCGATCGCGCGGAGCTGCCGCACCGCAGAACACAGAGGCAGCAGCTGCGCCGCGGTCCACGCGCTGCAGCACTTCGCAGCGGCTCGCCTGCTGCCCGCGCGGCCACCCACAGGCCGCCGCTTCACAGCCGGCCCCTATGGAGTTTGAATTCCCGGGCTGGTCGCTTTCGGTGTCGCGCCCGGCCGGCGAGGCCGGCGCAGGCGCGGCGGCGGGCGAGGGGGCGCTGGCAGGCGACGACCTGCTGGATGACCTACAGGTGCGCCAGCTGCACAGCATACGAGCTGCCAATACATACGATATGCGACGCACGGGGAAGCCTCGAGCATTGACGCACATGCCGGCTGGGAGCGTGCGCCGCGGGGCCGGGCGCAGGCGTCGCGACGTCGCCCGAGCGGCCGCCCCGCCCGACCCCCTGCGTGCCCTCGCGTTACCCCATACAGGACTTGTCAGATGACGAAGACGATGCAGCAGCGACAGCATCAGCTGCCGCAGAGCACCTTGGGCCCCGTCTCCCGCACCCAGACGGGCATCCGCAGCCGCTGCCAGACCCCGGCCGCAGCCCCGCGCCCACCGACCACACCACGGCACCAGCTGCGCACCCGCGGCGGCTGGGCCGCGCTTTGCCTGTAGAGGTTCTGCTGCTCGTGCTGGGCAGCCCCTGCATCAGCGTGCGGGACCTGGCCAGCGGCATGGCAGTCTGCGCGGACTGGCGCGCCGCGGTCGAGGGCAGCGAGGGGCTGTGGCTGCCCCAGCTGCGGCTGGCGCTGCCCAGGGCGCCCGCGGGGCCGGCGGCTGCTGCCCATCAGCAGCAGCAGCAGCAGCAGCAGCAGCAGCAGCAGCAGCAGCAGCAGCAGCAGCAGCTGCCGGCCGCCGCCGACGGCGCCGCCGTCACCCCGGAGGTGCGCCTGCAGCTACGCCGCGCGCCCCCGCCGCCGCCCTGGCAGCTGCCGCCCGGCCTGAGGCCCTCTGACCCCCGGCTGCACCTCAGGGCGTGGCGGGCGCTGACTGGCACCGCGGCGCGATTTGGGTGCCTTAGGAAGGGGTTCGAATTCATCGCTGATGCGTTCGCGGCAATATGGGTCGCCGTGTCTGCTGCGGCGGTGGCGTCAACGGCGGCGGCGGGGCCGGTGGCCGGCGGCGGCGGCGGCGGCGGCGCCGGCAGCGCAGAGGGAAGCAGCCGCCGCGGGGGTGGGGGTGGTTTAGGGTCTGGCAGGCGGATGACTCACGTGGACCAACTCTGGGAGGCGCCAGCTGGCGGAGAGCGGCTCGCGGTGGGTTTGCTGCGACTCGCAGCGAATGTGCTGCCGCCCTGATCAACTGCGGCCGAGCGACCGTCCGGAGCCCCGCCCGCACTCGTCCCGCTCAAATGGCGCAGGCCATCCCACACGTGCACGCGTATACATGCGCGCACAAGCGCACATATGCACGCGGACAGATGCCCTGGGCGACGGGCTGCCCCACGGCGTCGCGCCCCAGTCCACTCGTCAAAATTTGAACGCCCTCACCCAACCGCCACCCCAAACGCCGCCAGGTGGACGACAAGTACAACGCGCGCGCGGTCCAGCGGATGGTCGGGAAGCTGGCCGGCCACGATTGGCAGCTGCTCTACGGCGGTTTCTGCGCCCTGCTGGAGGCAAAGGCCGCTGAGCTGGCGCTTGACCTGCAGCGCCAGCTGGCGGCACGACGGCGCGCCGCGGCCGCGGCGGCAGCGACAGCGGCGGCGGCGCCGTCGGCAGAACCGCGGGCTGCGGCAGTGGTGGCGGCGCGGGACGGGGGCAGCGGGGGGGCGGCGGCGGGCGGCTGGGACGCGGGCGGCAGGCTGATGGGCGGGGTGCTGGGTGATATGGAGCGGTGCATGGAGGGGGCATCGGCTCTCTTTGCGGCTGAGCCAGAGGTCCTGCTGGCGGCCTGCGGACAAGGTGAGGCGCCGCAGCGGGGGCGCGATTGAGGCAGGGGGTGCAGTGACATGAATTGGACCGGCGCTGGCTGGTGCGGGGCTTCCCCCGCGTGCTTGCTCCAAAAGGGGGGCGGGGCTGGCTCGTTTCGAAGCCTGCAGCCTGCAGCGGCGGCATTTGACGGCGCCGAGCGACGCGACGTTCCGGCCCCGCTCTACCCCTTTGGACGCCCCTCCCCCCCACCTGACCGACGTCACGCCAGCCTGCCCCCCTCACTCGGACTTGAATCCAAGCCTTCCCTGTTCGTTCGTGCCTGTCCGCCTGCCCTAGGGCCCTGCCCCGAGGACGGCATCTGGCTGTGCAGCCGCTTGCTGACAGAATGGGACGTGTTCCGCCGCGCCCTGGACCTTTTCGTGTCGCGCTGCGGCCCGCTGGGCGCGCGCGTGGAGGGGGCGCGCCAGCAGATGCTCGCGGGGCCGGCGCCGCGCGGCAGCGGCGGCGCGGCGGTCGCGCTCACGATCCCGCACGTGCGTCGCGCATGCGCGCGTCGGGCGAGCGGGAGGGGCGCAGGGGGTTCCCACCTGCTTCTCCGGCCGGAGGGGCGGACACCAGTGGGCCGCATCTGCGGCTTCAAGGCGGTGCGATGCACGCCACAGCAACGCAAAGGCCCGCGCACCGATTGTCAAATAATTGAATCCGTTGCGCCCAGCGGAGACTTCACCCCATTCTTTGACCTTTCTGTCGCCAAAACCCCTCTCCACACACTCGTGAACTCACCTCAAAAACTCTACCTTATCTGCTATCGACTGTTCACCTTCCCCACGTCCCGCCCCGACCCACCCCCTCGCAGCTGCTGAACCGCGGCCTCCTCGCCTTCCGCTCCGGCGTCGTCCTCGCGTACGGCGTGCGGCGCCCCCTCCAGGCCACCCTGGCGTGGCTGGCCGCAAAGGCAAAGGCGGACGAGCTGCCGCCCGCGCGCGCGGCGGCGCTTGACCGCGCGCAGAAAATGTTGACCGAACTGGACGTGTATGATGACGCGACGCAGCCCGCGGCGCAGCACACGCACGAGAAGTTCCGGGCAGCGTTCGGGGCGCTGCTGCTGCGGGACCGGCGGCAGGAGCGGCACGGGCTGCGGGAGCGGTGCTGACAGCGCGCACAGGCCGGGGCTCGCGAGTGCGAGCTGCAGTGTAGAGCGTTGCCGCGTGCATAACTGACAAGCACAGTTTTGAATACTTTAATTCAAGTGACACCCTTTCGGAGGCCTCGGCAGGTTTGACGGGCCGGGATGCGCTTACTGATGAAGTGGCTGGAGGACGCTTTCTGTCAAAGCGGCCGAACAGGCCCCAGGTCGCTGACATCACTTTGGAGCTCGTGAATGATACGGTTGACGCAGTTCGACGCTTGAACAACATATCTGCTTCACTGATTGCCTTCAAACAGGGCTCCCGGGCTTGCAGCACCATCGAAACGCCATGTTGAGAACGCGCATGCAGCAGCAGATGCTTGGTGTACCTATCCGAGCGCGTTCCTTGGTGCGCGACGCGCCGGCGATGGCTGCTGAGGGGCTCTTTCGATGATCTCGTGCAAGTCTTCGAACGGCTTACCGGCACTCACTCCGCAGGTTCCCGCCCGATCGAGTCGCAACGGCCCAGGACTAACGCGAGCACAGTTGGATGGCGATCAGCTGCAGCAGCTGCTCGCAGTCCAGCGACACCTGCTGCAGGTTTGCCGCCGCCGCCGCCATCCCGATACTGATTGCTGTATGGCATCACCTCCCAGCAACAGATGGTGTGCACAGTTCTTTGGACACTGCATTCGCCATTTCAGAAAACCCACAGGGAATCACAAAGTCTACTGCGCTGCGTGCCCACAACAGGTCGACCAGGCGCGCGCCAAGGCAGTGGATGACGTCGAGCTTTTCAGCGCCCAGCTGCTGGCGGAGCGCAAGGACCGGGCGCGGCTGCAGCAGCGGGTCGTGGCGCTGGAGTCCGACCTGGTGGCTGCGGCGGCCCGGGTCGCGGAGCTTGGTGAGCCGCCTCGCAGGGGCCGCGGGCCCGCCTCGGAACCATCTGGGCATGGGCGGATGCCAATGTACTTTTGTGGGCACTTGGGTGGGCTGTCATGTGACCTCGTGAATCCTGCCTCGACACAACAAAGGCAAGAGGACCCGGTTATTTGCAATGCCTGAGCCCTGACTCTTGCCATCTTTACAATCGTTGTAAATGCAGAGTCCCAGGTAGCTGCCTCCCAGAAGCACCTGCAGCAGCTGCAGCAGCAGCAGCCACAGCAGCAGCAGGCGGCCGAGGCAGCCGCGGCCCCGCAGCAGCAGGAGCAGCAGCAAGCGCAGCAGGCCGCTCCGCCGGCGCCGCCGGCGGCCCCGCCCGCGGAGCAGGTCGCGACGATCACCCTCAATTACTACACGGGGTGGCACGACGCCTTTATCCATTTCAATGCTGACAGGAAAGGTGAGCGCGGGCTCGCCTGGGCGGTTGTTGGGTCGAGGCGTGCGTTTTAGTACCCTATCGTGGGTATCAAGGCGCCTGGTGGAGCCGAAGCAAGGTCGGCGTTGCCCCCAAATCCCGTTATCCTTTTGTGCCACATGATTTTGGCGAAGGCCGGATTGTCACAAGACCCCAGCTTACTTTTGGCAGCCCGCGCCAAGCATCTGCAAAGCGGCCCAGCTGAGAGGGCGACAGCCTGCAACACGCATCACCTATGCACCTTTCTTCCCAGGTGCCCGCAGCGCGTTCACCTGGCTTGCGCACTGCACCCTCCCCCTTCCCCTCACCTCACCGCACGTCTGCCCCCACGCGATCGCCGCCGCGTCACCTCCCTGCGCCCCTGGGCCCAGGCTGGACCCAGACCCCTGGCGTGAAGCTGGCGCGCGGCCCCGACGGCGGCAACCACCGGACAGCGTTGATTGAGGCCTCTGTTATTGAATTTGTGATGGTGCGATGCGGCGGGGGACGGCTCGGGCAAGGGGCTTGCACGGTTTGTGTTTTTGGGGGGGGGGGTGCGCACTGGCCGCTGGAAGCCGCGGGTAGAATGGGGCAAGGGGCCGGGCAGGCAGTGCGAGCGATCGCAGACGCAAGCTGGCGCGTTGTGGCTGCTGGTTCTAGTGAGCGTGCCTTGCTGCCTGGCGCCTGGCGGCTGGTGGGCGGCTCGGGAAAGCTTGTGCATTAGCAGCGGCCGACGGCGAAGCCTTGCGACACGCTGACCTGCTTTGGGATCCCCATGGCCTGTTGCAGGGTGTGTTTGCTCCCTCTTTGCCCTCCACCTGCCCGCCCACAAGAAATCCCAAAAATTAACACCCCTTCCCACATCTGGCGGGCAGAATAACGGCCACAACGAGTGGGACTCTCCAGGGCGCTACACGGACACGCCCGCCAACTACCAGATCCAGGCGCCAGGCGTGTACAAGCTCAGGAGCGGGCGCTTGGAGAAGCTTTCTGGCTGACTGCTTTGAGCATGTTGTTCTGCAATTCTTTCTTTGTTGTCTTCGCAAGGAGATTGGGCGCCACGGCATCACATTGTTCCAGAGAGGGCGGATGGGATGGCGCCTGCTCGCATGTATGTCAGCCGCCAGCGGTCCCGGGTGCCCCCCTTGCGCACGCAGAGGGCGGCCGTGGCTGTGATGCGTAATCGAGTGCTGATATCAAAAACCAAGCTCACCAGATGTCGCTGTGCACCGCATCTGAACTTGGGGTGCCTGGCATCGCTGTAGTTGTGCCGTTGTTGTCATCAACCTCACAAGAGGGAGCCTGTGACCACCGGGGGTTGACCCATTTCAAGGCGCTGGCAGTAGCACACGCGCAGCTCGTGTGGTGGCTGTGTCATGAAAATCAGCATCCAGCTGAGGTAACAAGGTGTGCGGCAAACCTGCCGCAAGATCCCCGTGGCTGTTGGGTTGGAGCGCTCGCTGTGAATTGCTGTGGGATTTGGGCCCAGCCATGGTTCTCCCACATTACGGAACAAATTCTGAGCCTGCAAAAATTAATATTGCTGTACCATCAATGAAGAACGGGCCTAGTGGGCTGCGGATGCGTCACCGACACAGGCCCGCCGCGCCAAAACTCCAACGACACAACGTGGTAGCCCTTCTATGCGCCAATTACCTGTAATTTTCGACACTCAGTTGTGTTTGCTATAATATCATGTACTTCAAATGCTAAGACTCACGGATCTTTCGGAAGCGTGCATCTATAGCAGAGAGCTGATTCATAGCAGCACAAAGGCCTCGTCAATAGCCATCAATTGTCTCGTCTCACGTTGATACCCGAACGACATCAGACAGAGCGATGTGCATGGGGCCAGCTGAATTTGAGCATGCCGTAGCCTCAGGCACGGACACCATTGGCAGCCACGATCCCGATTATATCGACCCAGTGATGCTGCAAAGGTGAGCACCGTCTGGCAACGGTCCGTACGCGCCCTGGAAGTGAGCCGTCACCCACCACTGCTGACAAGGATGTCACGCGATGCATCGGAACCTCCTGTGCACGTCCGCCCCCTCTTTCCCACACACGCACACAGCACCACCCGTGCCGGATCCAGCCGCGCTTTACCACTATCTCTGTCATGCCTCCCGCGGCCTACACCACCCACCTGCGCGACAGGTGCGTGCCCTTTGTGCTGCCGCCCCACCCGCGCCACGCTGGCGGTCCCAAGCGGAGGAGAGCATCCGACCAAGGCTCCATGGCGGAGGCCGCGCAGGCCGCAGAGCCCAAAGGGCAGGCGCGGGTGCACTCCGCGCCAAAGCGGGCGCGGATGACACTCGGGCAGATCCTGGCGCGTCACCGCCAGCACCAGCAGCAGCAGCAGCCTGACCGGCAGAAGGCGCTCTGCAGCGAGCACATGATTGCGACTGCCGCGAGCCGGCAGCTGCGTGGTCGAAAGCAGCGACGGCAGCCGACGGGCACCTCGCAAGAGGGCCCGTGTACGCCGACGATGTCTAAGCTGCTGCCGCAGGCACAAAGCCAGCTGGTCGAGCCGCTGTGCTGGTACGCGGCAGCTTCGACAGCAACGACGATGCAGGCAAGCGTGTACATGCAGCAGCAGGAGCAGCAGCAGCAGCAGCAGCAGCAGCAGCAGCAGCAGCAGCAGCAGCAGCAGCTGCTGCTCGACTACGTGCTGCCGCGCCCGTGGTGGGCGTCTGCCGCGGACCTCCACGCCGGACTGCGCTTGCCTGCCGCGGCGCCACACCAGCGGGGGGCGAGCAGCCGGCAGGTGCGGCCCGAGCCAATCCTCTAGCAGCAAAAACGCTCGACCGAAATCCTCGTTGGCGTGGGCGCGTGCCTTACTGTCGCGCATGCACTTCCGTTGTGTCCCAGAACAAGTCAGCGCACTGCTGTGGTCACCTCGCCGTGCATGTGTGCTCGCTCACAATCAGCACGCGCCCTCTCATCCGCCCTGCAGCTCGCCTCTAGCTCGGACAGCAGCACCGACGACTTCATGCCCGCCATGCCCGCCGCCACGGCCGTCGTTGCCGCGGCCCAGGCGCCGCCGCTGCTGCCTGTGCTGCCGGCCGCCGCCTGGCCGAACGAGGCGTTTTGGGCGCCAGCGAGCAGCGATGCCTCTGCGTTCAGCGCCGTGGAGGCTGCGGCGCTTGGCACACCGTCGGCTGGCACAGACCTGCCCATTCTACATGAAATCGGCGGCATCGACGACGTGTTTGACTGCTTCGGACTCGACGACAGCTGGCTGGATGCGCTTTGCAGCGACATGATCTGATGCGCCTCGGCAAGATCTGATATGATCTGAACTGCAGCTGCCTTCTGACGCCCAATTCAGGCTCAAGCTACCCACTGGAGCGCCTTGCCTAACGCGGCGCTCCGCTTGCTTCCACCACTGGCGACTCTTGGCTGCAAATCACTTATCAACGACAGCGTTCCCGCCTTGGCAGCCAGTTTGTGCGCCAGGCAAGCCCTTGGATTTCTAGGGATCACCGCAAGATGAATCATCCCGCTGTGCCTTGAAAACTCCCTCCCTCTTGCCTCGCGGCCTCTCGTCGCCGCCGGGTCCACCTGCCACCAGCATTCTTGCACGCATCCCACCAGGCCTTGGCGCTCTCTTGGTGGTGCGCGACTCTTTCTCTTGTGCGGCCGAGGCGGGCGCTGTTGCTGTCGCCTTTGGCTGTGCACTAACTCAGGCACTGCTTACCTGATGGCGCGCTGCGCGGCGCGCTTCGTGCCGCGATGTTACGTGCAGTTGAAACGCGCACGTGAGGCGTCATTGATCAGGACTTGTCAAGCCACGGCCGCGGCCGCAAAAACGAACGGACGTGCGGCTGCTTGATTGGTTGATGGGTATCCGGGCTTCGCCAGCGCCAGAGTGGCGCCCTGTGCCGCACACCCCTTGTGATCGCACGTGGCGGCGCGGAGCTTTTTGCCGGGTCACCTGAGAGGCGGTGGACCCCCTCACTGGCTTGGTCGCCGTGCAAGGCATCCACCCCTTCCTCAAACAAGCATGCCAAATCACCTGTGTGCGCCTTGGCTCAAACGTCTTGTCACTTGAATTAGGTCTGGATGGCACACCCAAACTACATAGCTGCGGTGCCTGCCCCTCTTGGCCCGTTGTTCATGCACACCAGAGTGCGGGGCCGCAGCGGGCATCAACACTGTTTTCTCGGCCGTGGGCCAGCTGCGCAGATTTGCCTGTCAAACAGCACGCACAGTCATTGCCTGTCGCTTCAGGGCACTGGCGCCGCCTGCCCCAGCTGTCATTGTACGCCTGTGTACAATCAGCCCGCCTACAAGGTGTATGTGTCTTTTAGTAGAAGCGCCGGCTGCGCAGTGCTCACTCTTCTCTCTCGCTGTGCATGCCTGTCGTCAGCTCCCCAGGTGGTGGCACGAGGTACACCGCACCACGGCGGCCCTTTCAACCGCATTGTTTTCGACGCCGGCTGGTCCGGATGGGGTGTCCGCTTGATACGTGTCCGCAACTGCAAAGCCTTCATCTTGCCGGCCACGCCCTGCACACACGCTGGCGGTGCCAGCCACACCCTCGTGCGTGGGCACCTGGATGATTTTCGTCTTACCAGCATTGCCTGCCTGTTCGTTGCTCGCCTCCATCATTGCTGTGGCAGCCGCCGAGCTGCAGCGCACCGCGCAGAGTTGACGCGAGCGCCAACTTGGCGCACTAGAAGTGCCTGCTGGGTAGCCGACCGCCGGCCCCGCATCGCGCTGTTTCATAGCAATTTCAGCTCGCACACCTGGAACCCTCCTGGCACAGCCTCGTCCATACACTGTGCAGGGGGGGGGGGCACCCCAACCCCCTCAAAAGGCAAGCACAGCCGAGCTCATGGCATGATGTCCTCATGGCATGGTTGAGTCCTATAGCCCGCGCGCTCCATGTATTCGCCAGCTCCTCCTCCTGCCACGTTGTTGGGGGGCTGGAAAGGGGTTTTCCATCACCAGTGATTCCTTGGCTTCTCCGGCGCCGACTCTCACCTGTGCTGAGCGGCAGTGCTGGATAGCACACGGCCCTTTTTCGTGATGCGGGATTGCCTTTCGACACACTTCAACACTGGAAGGGCCCGTGCGTGGCTGTACTGAAGCCAGTTTCTGTGTGTCAAGACGATTTTATTCTTTCAATGTCCAACATTATTACTACTGGTGTGCATCCTACGGCGAGGGGCGGGCGTTACAGAGAAACAAGTGATCATTACCCCCACCCCATCGCCCCCTGCCTGCTTGGGGTCACGCTGTGGTCCGGGTTTGACTAGAGTTTGACCAGTGCACACTGCTTTCGTGTTGCAGGGCCACAGGTCGGTCTTTTCAAGAGTGCCAGGTATCAGAGCTGTGGCACAAGGCGGATCCCCGAACGACCAATCTTCCCCCAGCAACGCAGTGTGCACGCACCAGCCACAACCACCCTACAACACCAGAACATGGCGCCATTTATCATGGCTCCTGCTCACCGCCAGGACATGTGATTCTATTCCTTTTCCCCTTCGAGCGCCGCCCGATCACGGCAAAATCGCGCGCGTGCTCCCCAACAAAGTTTTCGCATCAGGGCCCCGCAGCCCTGCTGGCCTGGGCTCTTGCAGTCAGGCCTGGCTGCGAGAGCTTGTGCTGCGCAATCTGGAGCACGACGTGCATGCAACACCCTGCACCTGGCCTTGGTTCGCGCACCAAACCCTGGTTTACTGCACACTCGACAAGCACTGGGGCACTGCCCAGGAGGGGGGCTGCACAGTTCGCAGAGGGAGCAGGCCCCCAAGAGTTGCCGCGTCTTGACAAGTAATCTTGTCACACAACCAACGCGGCGGCATGTTGCGAAACGTCCAAGGGTCCCTGCATGGGTCAGCTGCATACCCGCATCACAACTATTGCAGGTTGCATCCATTCCCCAAGTCAGGAACATACAGCGAGTGCTTGTGTTCGAAGTAAGCAGCATGTCTGCTGTTGGTTGTTTTGGTCAAACGTCATGAGCGCACCTTGTCTTGGAGGGACACAGGAGGTTCAAACAGGATTAGGCAGCAAGACGCCTGCAGCGCAGCAGTGCATTAGAAAAAATCCCATCAATCATAATGGCTGCCAGCACACCTGCGGGGGGCCGAGCCAGCCAGCAGCCATCACTGAAATGGGTTGGAGAAACACATGGTGCGATCTAAATGAGATCAGCGCAATTTGGATGCCACTTGTGCGCCGCTGTGATTGCGCCCGACGGCGCCCGCGGGCAGCCGCGGTTGCGGATCAATGAAGTATTGTGCATAATCAAGCTCACAATGCACTTCAAAAGACCGCCATAACCGATTGAAGCACAAGCCCAAAGTGCACCGACCCTGTCCAACCCAGAGGAGCGCACACCGGCTTGCGAGCCACTGCCCCAGGTGGGGGGCGGCCACAGGTGCAAGGGCGCCACGGTCTCCACAGCCCAAGTGCCAGGCTTGTTGCTCCACCGCGTGGGACGCTTTGTTTGCATGCAGAGATGAAGAACATCACATGCACAATTCACGGGCGCTTGCAGGCAGCGTGGACCGAAAACTCCTCAATCAGCTCGGCCGCGCGCCGCGCGCCGGGCGTCCGCGCACGCAGCCGGCGGCCCATCTCTGCGGTGCGAGCGTGAGTGTCTTTGTCAGCAAGCAGCTGCCGCACCGCCCGGGAGAGCCCGGCCGCGGTGAGGGTCCAGGGGTCGAGCTGGGGGAGGGGGGTGGCGGGGTGAAGGGCATGCAGCACGTCAGGCGGAGTGTGAGGGGCCGGCTATGGGCACACATCCTTGGGCTAGGGGGCTTGTAGGCGAGGCGAGGCCACTAAAATCGATTGCGAAATCGCCTTCAAGGAGCGCCAGGGGCGGCCAGCCTCAATCATCCAAGCAGTGCGCTAAGGGCTGGTCGCGTCGGGGTTAGCGCAGGTGCGGTTTTGCAATCTCAAGCTGAAAGGGGTCAGCATGGATGGGGAACCTTATGCGAAGTCCTGACCCTCTGCCAGAAAGCGCCGTCCCTCCTGCCGAGACATTCCCTGCAGCAACATTGCCGCCTACCATGCTGTTGACCCACACACCCTAACCCCCCCCCCCCACTCCCAACACGCCCTCAAAGCACCACCCACCATGGTGCCGAGCCCCTTGTTGACGACGTGCATCGCGTTGATGGGCTGGTCTGCAAAGTAGGGCAGCACCACCAGCGGCAGCCCCGCGGTGACGCCCTCGTAGGTCGAGTTGAGGCCACCGTGGGTCACAAACAGCTGCACAGACGCGTGGCCCAGCAGCGCCTGGACGGCGCACGTGTGCACGTGGCACGGGAGGGTCGGTTACTGGAAGCATGTCAGCATGTGGGGGTTGTTTGGGCATTTGCCAGCTTGTTATGCATGGTGTAAAGATGGCGCTGAGGGATGAGCAGAACCCGCAGCTAGCTGCTGCCCGCACGCCCTGCCCCTTGCCCAACCATGCGGCTGCCCTCGCACCTGCTGCGGCGCCCACGACAGCACCTTTGCGCGGCCGCCGGACCACTCCGCCACGTCCCCTGAAGGCAGCAGGGCGTGGCAGTCCTTGGCCAGGCTCCACACAAAGCTCGCGCCCTCCACCGCCTGCACGGTCCCCACAATGGCGTCGATCTGCGCCTGGCTCGGCTTGGCCACGGTGCCGGTGGCAATGTAAACCACAGGGCGGCCCGCATCTGCAAGGAGTGTTCAGCAGAGGGCGGTTGCGAGTGGGCGCAGGCACGTGGGTTGGGATCAGCAAGAGCAGTCCAGAGTTGCAAAAAGGCTTGGGTGCGACCGGCGGCCCGTGCCAGCCGCGCTGCCCAGTGTCGACCCGATGTGCCCGCAGGCTGCTGTGGGTGCACACGTCTCCCAACTGCAATAGCCCTGTCCTGACGTGCCTGTCCGGCCCCACAGTCAAACCTTGTAATGGCAAAATTGGCCCCACCTGGCCGCAACCAGCCCGCCGTCATTCCCAAGTTACAGGCCAAGGCGGTGCGCCCTGCCAGCGCCCTCACCTGCAGCGGCCTGCAGGAACGCTTCCAAGTCGCGGTTGGTGTCGTCACCCGCCTTCACCAGGGGCACTGGGAAGCTGCCCTCGCTGAAGTCGACGTTGTGCTGACCTGTCATGTGCCAGCTGGGCGGCAGCGGGCGCTCCACCTCCTGCAAAACAAGCAGGCGCAGCGTGGGGCAAGAGAGTGCATGGATGATGTGGCACAGGAAAGATGAGTCATGCAAGAGGTGTGCGCGCCTCCGTGTGTGTGCCTGTCTGTGTGTGCGGGTGTGTATGCGCGCGTACACGTGTTTGTGATTGTGTGTGTGATTGTGTGTGTAATTGTGTGTGTGTGTGTGCGTGTGCGTGTGCGTGCGTGTGCGCGTGCGCGTGCGGGCGCGCATGTGACTGCGGGGGGCTGTGTACGAGGGTGATGCGCAGAGGTATGCAAGTCACCCCCCTCACCAGGTCCATGGAGCCAGATACAAGGTGCAGCACGCGCTCCACGCTGGGCGAGCAGCCAAATTTTGCCAGCCGCACCCTCGGCAGCCCCAGGCGAGCTCGAGTGGCGGCGCGGTACGGGTCCTGCAGTCGAAAGCGGTGGACATAATCGGGGCATGTGGGTGAGGGTTTTGTGTGAGTGCGGACTTGCATTTGTTGCAACAACCTCTCCAAACATGCAAGCTTGCACATCAAAATCATGAGTCTGAGCCAACTCGCCAACGCCAGGCCCTTGCACAGCCATACGCCTTGCAACCCGGCGCACGCTTGCACAGGCACGGAGTGGCGCACAAACAAATGCGTGTGGATCTATGCACAGCCGCACAGCTTGACAAGCTCATTCCACATCACCTATGACCGCGCACTGATAGGTCCACAATGCCCAAGATATCTCCAGCTCAGCCTGGCTTCTCACACTGGCAATTATGACAGCTAAAAAGCATGCATGCAGGCGCGCCCTTCGCGCGGCCTCCAGGGACTCACCATGATGCCACAGGACTGCGAGTGGGCAAGCCTCTTGAGCAGCGGGTTGACGGCGCGCTGCGCTGGCGTCAGGGGCCCAGCCTGCAGGAAAGGTCCCGGGATCTCCAGCGGTACGTGGCTGCGGGTGCGGGGCATAGCGTTCCATCATTATAAGCGGATGGCGCGCTTGATTTTTGCAGGCAAGCGTGCTCGGCGGGCACGGTGTAGACAGCCGCGGCGTGCTGCACAGAGCCCCAACGCCGCAGGGGCCCGTGCCGAACCAGCGGATACTCAAGTGCGGCTGCAATCTGCCAGCGGCTTGCCGGCCAGCGGGGCTGCGGGCGGAGGGCTCTGAGCCTCGCGGCCCCCTGCTTGGGGCGCAGCCGGCCCTGTGGCAAGCCCCTGTCGCGGGGCCCAGCATGCACGCAGCCCGTTCCCGCCACGCCCCTCCACCCTTTTCGGTCACCTCAATGCTTGGCATCGTGATGCGTCACCGCCCCACCTGTACATGTTGGCGCTGTTGTACCCTGCCCCAGACAAGATCATCCCCAGGGGCCCCTGGTGAAGAAGCACCAGCGGCAGCCCCAGGTGCTCCGCAGCATCGTGGGCGGCCTGAGAAAAGAGCATGCAGCGAGGGCGCGTGCGTATCGTGCATCAGCCAGTCATTGCAAAAGGAATGGGGTGTCACGGCGGTGGAGCGGTTTGTCGCCTGCCAAGTCAGCAACCGCCAAGCCAGCTATCGCAGTTCTGTGCACTGTGCGGAGGCAAGGGGGAGGTTTGGCGCCCCACCGCCCGCTGAGCGCGCTGTTGGCCAAGGCACGCTTCAAAGTCTGCTGCACAGTCAGGCACTCCACGCAAGCCGCAGCAAGCATGCCCGCACGCACAAGCATGCACAAGCATGCACAAGCACGCACAAGCACGCACGCACGTGCGCGCAGCCGCCGCCCAGCCGCCACCCACCAGGGTCGCAAAGTCTGCCACAATCGCGTCTGTGCCGGCCGCGGCGCCGCCGCTGCCCAGCGCCTCCACCAGCGGCGGGAACATGGCGCGCTCCATCAGGGTGAACAGCTGGCACCCCAGCTTCACTCGGGCCTTGCCCTTGCTGCGCGCCCCCTGGGCGTGGATCTGCTGCTTTTGCGCCTCGTCCTCTGCGGACAGCGGCCCCAGATCGACAAACTCGAGGCCGGCGGCTTCCACCTTTGCCCGGCTCTCGGACAGCGCCGCGAAGCGGACGGCACCGGCTGCGCCGGCTGCGGGGCCATGGGGCGCGTTGCCGGCGGCGGCGCAGCGGCGCTCGTTGCAGGCGCGCGCGACGGCGATCGCGGGGCTGATGTGGCCCAAGTGCGGGACGCTGACAAAAAGCAAGTTGGCCGCTGCTGTTGCGTCCATGGGGCGTGTCTGCCTTGAGGTGGGTTTGCCGGCTGCTGGGTGGGTGCAGGGGTGGGTGTGGCCGGGCTTGGTGGTGTTGGGATGGGCACGGGTCGAGTGTGACTGGGTGATGAGCGCCGGGCTGCTTGGTTTGGCCGAATGCGGGAGGGCTGGCAGGCGTATCGCGCTGCAGTGGCCAACGACGGGGCGGGGCGCCCGGCCCAAACACCACCTTGGGAAGCAC